ACCAACCAACCAACCAACGAAGGAAGGAAGAAAGGAAGGAATGAATGAATGAATGAATCAACGAATCCACGAACCATTGAATAAAGTAACCAAGGAACCAGTGTGAATGAATCAATGAAACAATGAATCAATAAGCCAATCAATGAATGAATAAGTTTGCCGACCTCATCTTCCAAAAGTGCTCCGAACGTGATAGGTTTTTACGATTTTTATGTGAAGACGAGCTCTCGCTACAGTCTCGTGCACATTTGGCCGACCTCATCTTCCAAAATTGCTCTGAGACCTTCAGTTTTGTGCACTAGAGTCCTGCGCACGTTTTGTCGACAACTTTTGCAGATCGAGGCCTGCGCCCGCGGAAACAGACACCCTACTCACGGAAGCTACTTTACCCGAAAAAAACACAGGGTTTCGCGCCCGAGAGTCTTTTCAAGCCTGAGTTCAGGCGTTCCCGAGCTGTTACACTTCCCAACTACTTGATGATGATGTGGTTGACATGATGATGTTGTTAACATGATGGTGAGAATGCTAGCCATGACACTCGTCCATAACTCGGAAGTTTCTAACTAAATTTCCTTTGATGACAATGAGAATGTATCAAACATGCGTCGTGACCACTGCCGTCACCCTAGATGATGAACGATATAGCTAAACACCCTATCTCCTGGTCTCGTACTATGAAAAAACGTATGCAAAAAGAATACAAACGTAGATATGAAATGGCCAGAAGGTTCAACAAACCCAGACTTTGCCAGGTACTGTTGATTATATAAAACCTGGAAATAAAACCTGAGGGAAAGCCAGCTCGCAGACAGAAGGCCGGAAAGGAGATGTCAACCGATAGGGGCAGTGGCACGGACGCAGCGCGGCAGCGGCACTGTGACCGTGCTGCGAGGGCACATGACCTCAAAAAAAGCTCCTCAAACATAGCCCTGATCCCACCTTAATTTCGAGATTTCGGACCCACGCGTTCAGTCTGAATCAGTTCCATTTTCCGAAAAAATTAAGACGAAACCACATCAAGGCTATGGCAAGCATCCCCAGTCAGGCCCATTTTCTGTCCGCAGCCTCTGTCCGTCACACGGACTGCCGGTTGCCATGACTTGGACTCACTGAAGCTGTGGTGTAGCTGTCGCACACGATGCCAAGGAAGCCTGGCTTTTGAGTGGTATACGGTCATCCAGATGGTCCAGGCCCCCCCAAGACCAAGGTGGATATCCAAGGGTGACCATGGTAGGATGACAAAACTCCAGATACATTGAACTTACCCTGAATTCATTGGTGTCCCACATCTTGAGATGGGGGGCCATCCACAGCTAGGCACCTGTCACCAAGAGACTGAGTCAAAGCGTAGGATTAATGCAGTATGGTCCATCTCATGCCACGGGAATCCAAAATCCATCCCCAAACACTGGACAGCTCCAGGGACCCGCAGAACTGAACACTGTGCCACTGTGCCTCCAAGTCTGCTTTTTGCAGCCTCCCTTTCTCACCGATGCAAACTACGAAGGGCACCTGACAAACGAATCGCGGGAACGCACCCATCTGTATCGATTCGCCAGGGTGCTATCTTCCCCCATGGGGTTTCCAAATGCATGTCCAAGGGATATAAATTCTCCATCTTATCCATCTTATGCTAACAGTTGTTCCTATCAGATGAAGGAATCCATCCAGGATTCTATGACCACATCCCATTTTGTGGTCATCAAGGATGCTATGTAGATGCTCGTCTGAGTTCCACGCTACTTGTGACCAAACATATGCTGCCAATTCGCGATGGCATCTTTCTGGTCACTTCCCCACCTTGACTGCTTCTGGCCATGGGTCCAAGTTGACCTGAGTCGAAAGCTCTGATCTCCGGCTGTGAACTGATCGACCCAAGGGAACACTACCAATCCTTGCTCCTCCGCCGATGCACCGGCAGCACTGCGGATCGCACCTGATCGCCGGTGCCTTGCAACAACATCAGTCCGCGACCTGGGAAGCCACCGATGCTTGGGATATGTCTTGGAATGTCTCTTGGAATATGGGAGTGAGTTCCCTAGTACCCAGTGGTTAACATCCCAAAAATGAACAGGAAGGGCAATGTCAAGCTGTTGGGAGAACACATCAATTCTGGGATTGTAGCTGGTATTGACCCATACCCAATCTCTTCGCATGCACTGATCCCTCGACCATCAGGCAGCCACTGCTGTGTCCCCTAGGTGCCTTCAACTGCAAGGAGCCCTTTGATTCGCCAAACCTGCAAAATTGGCAAAGCTGCAACTCTGAAAGTTGGTTCGTCGATATTTTTTCCCAAGCGGCTTTGGAAATGAAAATGACAGGATACCTCAAAATTACATCATGTAAAAATCAGGGCAATTTCTGATAAACTACTGGATCTAGTTGGCTTTTATACATCCATGTAATCCCAACTGCTGTTGTTTCGTGGCCCATGAACCACTTCAAAAATCCATTCCCGCGCCTCCAGGTTTTCCTGGGAAGAACGCTGGGTGCCAGTCATCACTAGTTGTATTTAGTTTTGGGAGACTAAAAAACCTCGAAAATAGATGAAAATGGTGTATAGCAACCCCATGTTCAAAATGATAGAGAAGTCATTGGTCACTTTCTCAGTGGGATCAATTGCTCTTCACTTCAAATGGGGTCAATCATCATGGGCACCTTGGGCACCTGCAGCAACTGACGCGCCCATCTTAAAAGGCCATCCTGGCTGGGGATAGCAGCGGATCATCCATCATACTGTGGGCAAGTCATGGGATTCGTCGCTGGGATGAAAATCTGCCCTATCCAAATACCAACTGCAGGAGTTCGCAACCATCCACTGTCGGATCTCCGTTCCCCATTGAAAAATCATTGCGGAAAAATACTGTACAGAGACCCAAATGGCTCCATGAATGGCTCCCTCCACCAGTCGCCAAGCCATACTGAAGTTTTCCATGGATTGATGTGGATTGATGTTTTTCGCCCAGCATTTTGCTGGGATAGATCTGATATCGCTTCATCTTTCCCAATGGATCAACAAGAAAATGGTGGTTGAACCAACCAAAAATCGGATCCCCAAAATGAACAGATGAACAGATGAACAGACGCTTTTGCTCTTCCATGTCCTGAGTAAAAAGAATGTCAGTGGCTTCCTGTTTGGCCATCTCTACCTCTCTTTAAGGCCACCTGACACGACGCAGCAAGGCATCGGATCTCCTGCTTTTGTTTGTCAAAAGTCAAAACGCCCAAGCTGTTGGCCATCAGCAAAAACAGGTGTTCCTGCTCGATGGTTGTAACTTGTGCCAAACGATTTTTTCATGAAATGCGTTCGCCAAGCAGTCGATACCAGTCGTGAGGCCACCAACATTCATGTCACATGACATGCACCAAGTTGCTGACTCAAGCTCAGTCACCATCTGTGGCATCGAAGCCACCAACTTCTGCACTCGCCCACAGCAGTCTACTATGCATAGGACTCCACTGGGTCCAAGCAATGTTATTGAGAAATATTGAGAACCAATGTCCCAGTTCCATTTTGAAATCCTCTCATTGTTATAATCCACCATGAAACCGAAACCTCTCCGGTGGGTGACATTTCGATCTCACACAAATTGCCCAGATCACTGATTCCATTCACTGCCGCGTCTGCGCCCACAATCCGTTGTGCATCAGCAGGCGGTGTAATCTGTAGCTCAAATGGCACCTGCGTGCCAGAACAAGGAATTGCAGTGCACAGGCAATTCTCACCCTGGAGCCGCGCTGGCACCAAATCTAGCAACCAATGTTGCAAACAGCGCCTCTTTGGTTGAAAGTCTTTGGGTTTGTGGGCTCTCTTTCCTTGCCGCACTCGCAAAGCTTCCTTCACCTCTCGGTGCGGGCCGCCACCATTTGGACCGGGGAGACTGAAGCGGCCAAGTCGGTGCAAATTGCATTCAGATACCCAGAAAGGCACATCTGTCCGTCAAGACACTGATCTACTTGAAAATGCCCTTCAACACCTCTCAAGAAACACCCAAATCTTCCCTTTTCAAAATTCGGGCCACAGCAACCTTCTCTTCACACGCAGCTTTCAGATCGAGCCGGCTTCCTGTAAGACACGAAGGGCAGAATTGGTGTCCAATAAGCCACTGGAGTCGTAGGCTTCTGCTGGGAGTGCAAGACCAGACTCCAGGTTCACCTCAGGTTGCCCACCTGGTCTCAAGAAAGGATCCACTCAACAGCGTCTCAAGAAACACGCTGGCGGCATATAGCAGCTATAGCAGTGCTGCGCATGATACTCAGCGCCGTTGCTGCTCTTCAAGATAACATCACAGAAACAGTCTGCCATTCAGAATGTTCGAAGACGCGCTGCACAATGCCAACTTGACGCTGAATCAAATCCGAGTGTTCAAGCTTTGCCGTTGCCATGGCACACCCTCTACGAGTCCGCCACCTTGATGCTGCGTGTTGCTTAGTGAATCGAGTGCTGGTGACAATCACGAGTAAGCCCTCCAACAATTGCTTTCGTTTGCGAAGAACCCAAAACATCCTAAAACATTCCGTTGAGTATCACTCTGGCTGATTCAAAAATATTCCACCCGACTTGAGGCCCAAGGAGGGGTGCACGAAAGCTACGGTTCACACGAGTCTGGAAACATGTGCCTTGTCTTTGAAAGCTCTGTGCATTTCTTTGTGCTTGCCATATACCCTGAAGACTAGGTCCCTTAAGGTCGCTGTGAAAGGGCCAGGCCCTGCCATGTCGGCCTCTTGAAAGAGGAGCCCTGGCAGCTGTAGGGTGGTGCATCCCACACCTTCCAAGTGTGCCTGGGCAGGCCAAAAAACTATTCGGATTGGGTATATACCCCAAGTGATATCATCTGATATCTATTAAGAAACAAGGACAATAATGATAAACCAGTGGATGGAATGGGGTACCCTATCAGACAAACACAGCTGCCAAAGGGACTCCACCCCTCGGGGAAGTCCTCAGAATCTTGCTGCCTTTTGCTCTCGCTTCAGTCGCTTCACTTCCAAAGCTGTTCTTATGGAAGTTCATCTTCCTCTTCACCTTTCTCTACATTGAAGAAACGTGCAGAGGCTCGCAGTCCACTCATGCTGTTTCCTTCCCAGAAGATTTCACGGCTGTAGCCGAGGATGGTGCCTCCAGGGCATGGTTAGCAAGTCAAGGACAGAAGAGGAGTCTCATCCTCTATGATAATTATGATATACCTTCCAAAATGAACAGATTCAATAGTTGAATAGGAAGCTTTCTGGATGAATGGACCAAATAATTGGGTCACTTCGGAATCCTGAAGAGACCCAGCTATGCCAAGCCCCCAAAATCATACCTGTCTTGAACCCGTATGATGCACATGCGAATGGCTCCAGGAAATCAGTTGAATCACATGCCATTTCCTTGCATTGCTACTGACTCAATGCACTGTTTGTTACACAAAAAGCCTCAACAGCGCTGGTTAAGCTCTGTAGAGATCCAGCAAATGCCCTACTCTGCTTCTTGTCTACTGCACAGGTTGTCACTACAGAAGGGTGCTAACCAATCCCCAACTCTGAATTCCAACCGATAGGACGGGATAGATTTGGAGCCTCCATACTGCAAAGATCGAAATTTGCAGGTGTCGTAGGAGTCACAGAACATGCGGATGGCATCATCAACGCCCCTTCGAAACAAGTTGTCGATGGTCTCCATCGTACAGTTTGTTGCAGAGCCGTAGTAGCCTCGATTCTTGCAACGGTCAGTGGTTGGCTATGATGTGTTCCGAGGGAAATGTAGGAAACCCCCTATATTTGATGGTATAATGAATGGTTTTTGCAAATGTTCCCTTGTGTAGGTGACTTATGGCCATATATGGCATACCTCCTTTGCACAACCAGTGTTGTAAATGTGTGTGATTGGTGGAACGCTACCAGCGGCTACCAATTCATGAATTGGTCGACCAGTCACAGGGAGAAGCTAAGCTTCGCAAAAAAACGCCGTATCCTCTATCAACTATAGTAGCTATAACTATAGGGCTATAACTATAGTACATCAACTATAGTAGCTATTAACTCTATATTGCTCAGCTATCATAGGGCAAAAATGTAGTATAGCCTGGGGTCAGCGACAATGTGTCTATAGGCCCTCACATGACCACAGGTGCCACAGGCTACAGTGTCAGGGGCTGTGATGATAGAACGACAGTTTGCCCTCGCGACCGGGGAATGGAAGTACACCACCTCATTGGCCCGGCATGGGAAACCCCCTGGCTGGCTGAAACCTCGGAAAAATAGATGGATTACAACCATTGGGATTGCAAAAATAAGGATTGAAATGGGATAAACCATGATAAAATCCCTCTTGTTACCTGGGTTGTGTCAGTCTTGGGCAACCATTCCAACCATTCTCAGGTTCGAATCACCCTGAAAAAAGAAAACTTTCCAACAGTTCCAACAGTTCCAACCATTCCAACCATTCCAACCATTCTCCCATGGGTTTGTCTGAAAATTGGTAGCCCTAAATCCCGTGGTTAATCATCGTTATCCCTACTTAAATTGCCATATTTTTTGTTGTCTAATAATCATTATCCCTATATTTATTTGGTCTATTCCTATATTTATTTGGGGTATTCCAGCAGTTCATCATTCCGTCATGTTCAGACACATGTCGGGGCCCACAGCAGTTCATCATTCCCTCATTTTCAGCCCCAAATCATAGATTGTTGGTTACATTTTCATGATCTTCCCATGAAATTCTCATGACACGCCCTTTCAATCACCATTCCATGCAGCTCCCCAGGCTCCCCAACCCCGGTTCCCCCTTCGCACGCCGTCCCCGGTTCCGGGGAAGCCGCCTCCATCACAGCATTTGCCAAGTCCTTGGAGGCCAGGCAGCTGGCGACCCGCCAAGGCGCCTCTCAAGGACGCCTCACGAAGAGTCGTGGCGGTTTTTTTTAACCCTCCAAACTACCAATTTCCTATGGAAACTGGAGCATTTTGTTGATGATTTGCCAGAAATTGATATACCCACTCTAAACATATTGATTGAAGACCAGTGACTTAGGAACCAAAGGACATACCCCCAAAACGCCGAGTCCTATGTCATGAGCAAGCATCCCCTTCATTGATGGCCTGGGTCCATTAATCCTATGTCATGATAGAAAAACAGAGAAATCATGTTATTCTCAAACAAGTTTTTCTATGATCAAATGCATTGGGCAAATCCGAAATCATGATGCGCAGTTTGGGGGGGGCAAAGGTCAGCATCATCGAAGGGGATGGGTGGACACACACGTCCTAAGTCACAAGGTTCCTGGTAGTCATGCAAGCGGATGTTTATATGAGGCATAAATAACATCAGCTTTTGATATCTTGGAAATTGGGTTTCCAAGAGATGTTTTTGTTGGCTGCCGATGGTCTTTGAATCCTATGTCATCAGGTTCTTTTTCAGGTGTCTTCCGGGTTTTTTGGTGAATTGCACATCGTAAAAACCACATGACTTAGACCACTTTCAGCCTGTTATTCCTATGTCATCAGGTTTGGGCCTAAGTCATCTGCCTACAATATATTAAAACATGCAGATTGCCATAGCTAAAAATCGAGTTTACCAAAGGGTACCACACTTATCATGAAAATGGTGGTAGGTAATCGTTTTGCAATCAGAGTAGTACCAATAGTCATAGTAATAGCGATACTATATCATAGTAATACCATAGTTATTAGTCAGCTGATAGTCATAGTTATAGTAATACCAATAGTCATAGTAATAACGATAATTATTATATATATATATCATTATAATACTATATATATATGATGATAATGATAATCAGGTCATATACCCGACGATAATCAAACGTGGCCGGCTGGGAAAATCAGCGACACGAGTACGCTGGGATTTTCCAGCACGCCATGTTTGATTACCCAAGGGAGGGTACCACGATTATCATGAAAATTCTGGCAAATAAGAATAGTAATAATGATGATAGCAATAACGATTCGCAATGGTTAATGACTATTATTGAAATGATAATGATGGTGATAATTGTGAATTATCATCATTAATTGTCATTGTTCACGTCCGGTCATAAAAATATCTATATCAATTGCGCAATACAAATGTCTATATCACTACGTTGTAAACTCAACAATGATAATGATGCTAGTGATAGGGATACTGACAATAATAGGGTGTGAACCTATAAAACCACATTTTTTGGGTATGGGTTTCAATGCCCAAACCTTAAAATGTGGTAAATATGAGGTGGTGTTTAATTTCAATAGCCAATGCAATCCTTACATATCACTTTGGTCACAGTCAGAATTTGGCGACTGGCAGTATACTAGCGCAAGTGGTTATGAAATTGTAGTGTTTTTTTGGCTGCTTCGCACAACACGTAACAGAAAGCAACGCAACAAAGACCCACCACAGCAGCGCATTCAATCCCACTTCAGCATCTGTGCAAGGACAGCTGGAGGCAAGGGGTACCTTTCCAGTGAACTGAACCTGATATCATCCATAAATACTTCAACATATCATCCATATATAAATATAGATATAAATATAGATATAGATATAGATATTAGATATAGATATTAGATTTTAGATATTAGATTTTAGATATTAGATATTAGATATTAGACATTAGATGTGTATATATATAGATATAGATACAGATATAGATATAGATATAGATTATAGATATTAGATATTAGATATTAAATATAGATATTAGATATAAGATATTAGATATTAGATATAGATATTAGATAATATGATATATACATATATATATACATATATATATATACATATATATATACATATATATATACATATATATATATATACATATATATATACATATATATATACATATATATATATACATATATATATATATGTGTATATCCATATATATAGATATAGATATTAGACATTAGATATTAGATATAGATATTAGATATTAGATATTAGATATAGATATAGATGTTAGATATAGATATAGATATGTATATATATAGAGATATAGATATTGGATATTAGATATTAGATATAGATATTAGATATTAGATATAGATATTAGATATTAGATATAGATATTAGATATTAGATATTAGATATTAGATATTAGATATTAGATATTAGATGTAGATTTAGACATAGATATTAGATATTAGATATTAGATATTAGATATTGGATATTATATATTATATAGATATAGATATTAGATATTAGATATTAGATATAGATATTAGATATTAGATATTAGATATTAGATATTAGATATTAGATATTAGATATAGATTTAGACATAGATATAGATATTAGATATTAGATATTAGATATTAGATAAAGATATAGATATTAGATATTAGATATTAGATGTTAGATGTTAGATGTTAGATGTATATATATATATATACATTATGATCCATTGATATGATCCATTGATAGCATCCATAAGATTCCATAAGTATGATCTACCCTGTAACCACCAACAGTCGGTTTTTTTCCAGCCTCTCCACTCGCTTCATAGGCTTGAACACATTGCTCTCTGTCTGTGAAGTGATGCAACACCCAGTTCCTTGACCCAGAAATTGGGGAAAAATACGGTGACAGGTTCACCATCAAACAAAAATATGGGGGTTCACCCCATCAAACATGGAAGTTAACCAGCAAATATGGGCATTACGAACCCCCAACCTGGCCAAATCGTATCAAATTGTCTTATTTCTGGAGAAATTCAAGGGTGGCTTACCACGTTTTTTTCAAAGCTACCGCTGAAAAGGTGTCTATATAGAGCCATGTCAAGGACGAATCACTTAGAAATCATGTCATACAGGCAAACGTATGCAAGACAAAAGCTGTGTGCAGGGAGGGAAATATGTTGTTCAGCAAAGGACCTTTGATGGCAAGCTGGAATCTTGAAATATCTCTGCAACCAAACCCAGCAGCCCTTGCCAATTGAACCTGAGTTGCTGCCACTGAAATATGGTTCTGCCACACGCCATTGCAACATATCCACGTTGATTCACGCGTTCAAATGCTTCATCTTCATGGATTGCTCGGCCTTGGTCACACAGGAATGCTGCTTTTCTGTGCCAAGCATGGAGAAAATCCTATTGAAAGCACACGCCAAAAACTGTCCCTCGCAACTGAGACAAACATCGGACGAGGATCGGTAGATTTCCCGCCAAAGCGGTGTGGTTTGCCAAACTTGTCGCAGAGTCGAGCGGGGCGTTTCCGCCACCCACTTGGCATAGACCATGTAAAATGTCAACATCGTCCTGACGCTCACACAACACGCGGCACGACACCTCAAAACTCAACCCTCCAGTTATGGGGTTTGCCGGCAATGCTGAAGTCCTCCATCTGGAGTGGTTTTCATGCGACAAATCCATACAAATCCTACATCCCATACATATGCTATGTGTCAAAACCCCGTACGCCTGGTGAACAGCAAAAGTGGTAACTGGGGGGGTCAATCCCAAAAGTATTTCAATGCATTTCACAGGCATTCCATCCCAAGATCCCTAAGTTTCGTTTTTAAAAAAAATCGTAGACTTAAAATGTCTTAGAGTCATTCAAAATCACCAAAAATCATCATTTTGACAGCTCCCCAGCTGTGATTGACCAGCTCCTGCTGCTCTCCTGGGGATCTGCCAAGGCCAAGAGGGCACTGGTGGCCCCTCCGGAGGCCCCCATGAAATCTCGCAGCTTCAGCAGGCCTCGAAGCGCCAAAGAATGGATGAAAAGCGGTGGAAAAAACGGCTGTTTCAAGGGCTGGATGCAACAAAAATTGTGGAATTTTATATAAGCTGTTCCCATGAATCAATCGTTAAAAAAGAAAGTACAAGTGGAAAAACAAAAACATGTATAGCCTTTCAATGGGAAAAGCATGAAAGAGTAATTTCAGACACCTCAATTTTTTTCGCTCGTGCACGAGCAGGGGGATTCTGCAGCATCAGGGTTTTTTATGTCACGAGACCTGGTGAACAAATATACCAATCGGATCCTATCCCCACTAGGCCATCTCTATCGGACTGGCAGGTGGACCCCCAAATCCATTGGTTCAGGAATTTCTGGCACCACCATGGCAGCCATGGCCCCATGGCATATGGCGCCCTAATGCCACTGTCCCCATCCCATTCACCATGACTTGGGGTCATAGTAAACATCATCCCATTCGGGTATACTGCAACTGCCATCAGCCATGTCAGGACGTTGAGTCACCAAGGACCCGGAACTGTGTCTCGGCTCAGGAGGGGCCCCTTTTAGTGAGCCATCCAATGTGGCCAATGGTGCAGACCTGACCGCTGTGGTCATTGAAAACATAGCGCTCTGTGCGCTTTGCGGTTCGTGCGGTGCTGACTTCCTGAACTACCACAACGGCTTCTAGGCGACCGGGATTGGAGGGGAATTAGCCCAATACAATCCACTGTGCTCCCGCTACATTGGTAGCGGAGCACTAAAGCTCCGAGGCCTGTGCTCCAATCCTGTCGAGCGTCACCTGAGGTGACTTGTCCTCCAGATTGGAAAGGCCTGCTTGGTTGGTTTTGGATCTACATCCAGGACACCTTCAACCTTTTGGCCGAGCTCTTTGGCAACTCTTTTCTTTTGCACTCTCAAGCGATACGGCTTGAGCCCTTGCTGGCCACTTTGGCCCAACCTGCCATTTTGGCATCATGGCTTCTGAGAAGGAGCAGAACATTCCGGTCTGGGATGGTAGTGCGCGTTCCTGGAGAAGATACACCAGAGAAGTTTGCTGGTATGTGAGGGCTACACCTGTAGAAAAGCGCAGGTACTGCGCAACCAAACTGGTGAGCCGACTGAAGGGTCCAGCCAGACTCTTAGCTATGAGCTGGACCACCATGGAGTTTGACCACACCAACGGTGTCAGAGACTTGCTGCAACGTTTGGCGACCTCGCCATTAGTCAGGCAGACCTTGCCCAATGCTGCGGCCACATGTCAGCAGTACTTCAACTTCAGAAGAGATGCTGGTGAACAGATGAATACTTTCCTTGTAAGGGAAGCCTTGGGTTACTCTGAGTTTGTGGAGGCGCTCTTGCTGCTCTACGAGGATAAACAGGGAGTCCAACAACATGAGAAGAACTTCGACTTACCTGAAGAACTTCCTCGAGATGATTGGCAAGACTGGTGGCATGATGCTACTGATGAACCTGAACCTGACGCTGCTCCTACATCACCGTCGAGACCTACAGGCGCTGCTGCTGCTACTTCTTCACCAACGAGGTCTACTTCGGCTGCTGCTGGAGGTGATGGCACTGGAATGTCTCCTATGAGGCAATCACCACGTGCTGCAAGCTTCCGCTCTGTGGGAGTTCCTGGTTCTACGGTGCCACCTGGCTTCGAGACCTCCGACATCAACAAGTTCAGCTTGGCGGACAGTTTCGTCCTTGGGGTGCTACGTGGTTTTCGTCTTCTACAAGCTGCTGGTTTGAGTCCTGAAGATAAGAGGGACATCTTAGCTTCTACGAAAGGGAGCTTGGAGTTCGATGTGGTCACAAAGGCCTTGCAGACGCTTTGGGATGAGCAGTTCCTTGGGCGTCAAGCTTCTTCCATGCGGAGCTCTATGGGAAACTATTTCAATGAGGCCTACCACGCTTCTGAGGAGCCCTATGACTATGAATGGTGGAATGATGAGACCTACGAGAACTACTGGACTGAGTCTGATGCTTGGGATTCCAGTTGGGATTCTTGGCAAGATGCTCAGTATGGCCAATCTGAACAACCTGCTGAAGATCCACCACCTGATGATGCGGCTCTTCAAGACTCACTTCAAGCAGAACGAGATCTTGCGCTACAAGCTCAACGAACATGGACAGAGGCCCAAAAGGCCACCGCTGCTTTGAGACGAGATCGTGGTTTTGGACAACAACGTCCACCCAATGATGGCAAATGCTTTCTATGTGGAGGCAACCACTTTGCTAGGGACTGCCCTGACAAGTTCCACCCTGCCTACATGAAAGGCAAAGGCAAAGGCAAGTACACCAATGTCTATGCTGCAGAATGGGAGATGGCCGACGCCTACTACATGAAAGGCAAAGGCAAACCGAAAGGTAAGGGTAAGGGCAAATCCTTCAATGTGGTTGACATGAATGCCATGTGGAAAGGGAAAGGTAAATCCAAGAATGTGCCGAGTCGTCCGGCAGTGAATGCATACACAGCTGAGACCCAGTCCTTCTACGGCCTGGAACTTCGTGAACCACTTGAGGCTCACTCCACTGCTGCCACCAACATGAAGCCGAACCTTGGCCTCCTCGACTGCGGGGCAACTGCTAGCGCTGGGCCTGAAACCAGTGTGCAGAAGCTAATCAGCTCTGTGCTTGCCCAGGATCGTGGAGCTGCTGTGACCATTGCGAAATACATGCGGCCTTATTTTCGTTTTGGGAATGGTTGTTGGGGGCAAGCAAACTTCAGGGTCTCAATCACCTCAAAGGTTTCTGGTTGTGAAAGAACGTTTCATATGTATTGTTTGCCGGACCCCAAGAATGGCGACCAAAACAATATGGTTCCAGTTCTACTTGGCATGGATCACCTACCTGGTAAAGATTGTCCTGAATCAGCTTTAACCATCGACTTCAACACGGGCATGGCTTTGGAATCGACGAACCCCCAACCAAATGTTTTTCAACTTCCATGTAACCACAAGGGTCACTACATCAGGGATATTGTCCACTACCTGACTTTGGGGAATAGCAACCATGAGGGACATCCTACAATACATGTCATGGAGGGTGAAACGCAATCTGCAGAGCTGCAAACTTTGGAGTTTCATCCAGCGGAGTTCTATGATTTGCATGTAGCTGATCGAGTACATGATCAAGAGGTTTTGGAAAAATCAAGAAGGCAACTGTTGGCACTTCATGCTCACCAACATGGCCGAGTTGATGCGAATGCTGCAGCCTCTCTGGCTTCAATGTGTCCACGAGACCAAACTGATCTCCCCAATTTGTTCGCATCTGCTTCCTGCGTGCCGCCTGACCATGTCGCAGGAACCTCACCAAAAGCAAGTTCGGGATGCAATCACTGCTGTGACGCCAAAAGCTCCACCACGGGCATTGGACCCGGAGCGCATGATGGGCTTCGACAGCAGGGATCCACGTGCGGATCCAAATCAATGGCCCTGTCACGGGTCTCACACACCAATGAAGCCTCACGGCAATGCTCACGGCCAGTGGGTGCATTGCGCAGTGTGCAACTTGAGGCTCCAGTACACGCCCAAGAAGGGAAGCCACTCAGGTGCAACCAAAGTGGAGAACCCTGCCATGGTGAAGCGCATGTTGGACCGTCTTCAACCTCTGATGGGAGAATGCCGTCCAACCCAACAGATATGCCTGGCGATGATCAAGCTGATCGAGGCGGAGGAAGTGCTTCAGGTCACCATCAACTACGAGAAGGACAAGCATGCGACCATGGGATATGCCAAGGCCAAGGCAAGTCCTTCAAGGTCGTCACCTTCAACGACATCTCCGGCGTCGCAATGGAGCGTTGTGGAGAATCCGGAAGCTCTGAGTGCAGAAGATCTTCAACGCCACTTGACGGCCGAGGAGAAGAACCAGATTCAACAGCTCATGCGCGAGCGCCAGGAGAATGCCAACAACGAGAACGAGATGGCCTGAAGTATGACAACGTCTTAAAGAATGACTTCAAGTCTGTGGATGTCGAGACCTTCAAGAATGCCAACACCCTTGAGAATGACCAGGTGCCTGCGTTTGCCACAGTCCCAAAGAATGTCAAGGTTCCAAAGATTGCCAACAAGAACATCAAGCCTGCGGAGATGACACAACGAATGGCTGCCAAGGTGATGGTGATGTTCACAACTATGATGGCAATGGCATCGGCTACTTTGACTTCGTTCTCTTTGGACGATCGCGATGGACTTTGGGAGATTGCCTGTGCACCTCATTCATGGCTTTCTGAAGCTGCTGATCGACAAGGACTACGACCTCGACGCATCAACCTTCAAGCTGGCTATGACCTCTACCGCAAGGAGACCTGGGATCATCTTCGAGCTCTACGCCGCCGACATCGTCCTCGACGTCTTTGGTTTTCGCTGCCTTGTACGTTCTGGTGCCCTTGGACTTCGCTCAACTATGCTGGCCCTGAACGTCAACAACTTCTTGAAGATCATCGACGACGTGAACGACGAGTTCTTTGGCATGTTCATGAGTTCCTGTCTGAGGCCTTGGATGAAGACCCTGACATACTGGTCTACTATGAATGGCCTCACCCTTGCTTTGGTTGGAAACAGAAACCCCTTCTTGCCATACAAGCTCTTTTTGAACAACATGGGCAAGAATGGAATGACTGCCGCATAGATGGCTGTCGATACGGCATGGTGGACTCCAACAACGAGTTCCTCAAGAAAAAGTGGATGATCAAAACCAATGATTAACTTTTTCATGGCCAATATCGATGCAAAGTTTGTACTGGTGGTCATTGTCATGGCCGAATTGAAGGGCGCGAGACTCAAAAGTCAAGCTACTACCCTTGGAAGATGGTTCAATCGTTTGCTCGTTTTTGGGCACAACAAACCGTTTCAAAACAACAACTGCAGCGTATGAACTTCCATGATGTGGCAACTGTGGAAGACTGTGATGGTGGTGATCTACTTGCACAAGATGAAGAACCACCTGGCGATCACTCAATGCCGAGCTCTTTGCCTGGCGATGCAATTGTTGCTGCGAACCCTGCTGATGCACCATCAGCTGCTGAACGTGAACGATGGCAAGCCAAACTGAACCACTTCCACCGTTCTTCTGGACACTGCTCTAGCAGAAACTTGGCTCGCATCGTCAAAGATGCCAACCTGGAGAGCTGGAAAGTGCGTGCTGCCCTGGACTTCACTTGTCCAATTTGTGAAGGTCTACGACCTGGTGGCTCTTCAAGTGGGAATGTGCCGCCTGCTGCAACTCATGCGCGGTATGGCCCCTGGCAAGCTTTGGGCTTAGATGCTTCTGAATGGGCCGTGCCTGACCACAATGTGAAGGTCAAGTTCCTTCTGCTCATCGACTTTGCCACGCGGCTGAGAATGGCAGTTCCTCTCATGGAGCCCTATCCAATCACAGCCTTGCGCACTGAAAGCTCTGCTCAGGTGATTGAAGCTGTTGCGAAAAGCTGGCTTGGAACTTACCCCAAGCCTGAGATCATCATACCTGACAATGTGATGGGTTTTTCGGCCAAGGAGTTTGCTGATTTTTGCAGAGACCAAAACATTGAGCTTTGTTTGCCTGCTGAAAAAGAACCTTGGGCTCATGGTTTGGTCGAAAATGCAATGCGGGAGCTCAAGCACACCGCTTCTGCGATACAGATGGACAACTTGGCCCAGGACCCAACTGTGACACTAGCTCTTGCGGCATCAGCCTTGAACTCAACCGAGTTTGTTGCTGGCTTCAGTTCTCATCAATGGGCATTTGGTCGAGCCTATACTATCAGTGAAGAAGATCGTAGGCTTTTTGCTCAACTTGGAGAACGTGCCTCTTTTGCTTCAATGGTTGCTGCAAGACAGCGCGCTGAGGATGTTGCTACAAAAACTCGAGCTCAACGTGTTCTCACCAGATTGAACAACAGCAAGGCGAGACAACCTCTACGGCATTTTCAAATTGCTGATTTGGTGAAAGTTTGGAGAAAGATTTTGCCCAGCGATGCCTACAAAGGACCTCGAGGTGGAATGAAGCGCACCAGTCGACCTGGCTGGATAGGCCCCGGTAGGGTGGTCTTCACTGAGCTTCTTCCACACCAAGACAAAGATGATCCTCGACGTCATATCGTTTGGGTACTTCTCCAAGGCAAGCTCTTCAAATGTAGCGTCCACAGTGTGCGACCTGTCACACCAGTGGAAAGATTTCATCATGATGTTCAATCGCGAAGATGTTTCCAAAATGAAGACTCTCTCTGACCTTGTGCCTAACCGAGAGTTTGTGGACATCACGGATGAGATTCCTGATGAAAATGAAGCAGAACTACCTCTACTACCACAGTCACCTGATGACACAACAGTCATCCCTGCCATGAGAATTTGGGGCAAAAAGGGTCTTTCTCAACATGACTGGAAGACGATCCACCGATCGTCGCCACTTGGACTTGGCGTACCTGACCCGGCACCGCTCCCTGGACTTGGAAGTGCTGTTGGTCAACGGTCACCTGGACTTGACCGTCCGTCCTCCTCCCAACCTGCTGGTCTGGACTTACCAGCGGAGGACATTCCAGTCAACACCTATGACTCAGATGCCAGAACTGAGTACGAGCCAGAATCTCCGGTTCGTGAACCTCCGGAAGAACCACACCCTGATGCTCCTGATGTCAAGCGTGTCAAGATCAACAACTATGATCTCAAATGGGTTGAACAACTTGAGCAAGATGCTGCCCAAGAAGCTGGTGAATTTGATGTTTTCTCAGCTCTTCAAGAAACTGAAGAGGCCTTCACCATCAGCTTTGACATTGACGTGGAGACCCACCGTCAAAGAAAGGCCTTGGAACGAAATCCCGTCCTCTTCTTCACCAAGAAAATGAACAATGCCGAAGTTCAGTTGACCAAGCTGACAGCTGAACATCGTGAGCTCTTCACCAGAGCAAAGACCAAGGAGGTGGACAGTTTCTTGAAGAACCAGGCAGTTCGAAAGTGTCTCAACAATGATGAGATCAGGCGTGCCGTTGAGTCAAACAGAATCATACGTGCCCGCTGGGTTTTGACATGGAAACAAACGGCTCCAGATGAAATTGAATCAGCCAAGAAGGAAGCGCAAGAAGATCCAAAAACAGTTTTGACCAAAGATGGCGCCAAAAAGGCCAAGGCGCGAATTGTTTTGCTGGGTTTCCAACACCCATCGCTGCTTGACCGTTCTTTCAAGACAGCTGCTCCTGTGCGAAGCATGGTTGGTCGAAACCTCCTTTACCTTCTTGCCACCCATCACCAATGGCAGATTCATGGTTTGGACTTAGCTACAGCGTTTTTGCAAACTCAGCCAACAGAGGCTGACCAGGAGATTTGGACAACTGGCGTAGCAGAACTGAGGACAGCTCTTGGTTTGTCCGATTCCGGTATCATGCGGATCCTCCGAAACATATATGGCTCCACCACAGCTCCAAGAGGTCTTTGGCTTGACCTACACAAGAAGCTGGTTGGTTTAGGCGCTGTGCCTATCCTTGGTGAAAGATGTTTGTGGGGATGGTTTTCATCAACCGAGAAGGATGAGACCGGCAAGTTCCCAAAACTGCTTGGTGCCATTGGAGGTCATGTAGATGATTTTCATGTTGTTGGAGATACAAAAAGCGAAGAATGGCAAGTTATTTTCAACAAAGTTTTGTCTGCATACCGCTGGGGAACTTCCAAACAAGGTTCCTACCGACATGCTGGAACTGACATCCAGACTGTCACTCAGAAGAATGGAGAGTTTTCAATCCGCGTCAACCAGGACGCATACATTGAGACCGTGATGGACGTCTCAATTGAGCCAGAACGTTGGAGCCAACAAGGTCCACTCACCAAAAGTGAAATTGCTGCCTGCCGTACAGCTTTAGGTGCACTGCAATGGCTGGCCATTCAGACACAGCCTCAACTTTGTGCACGTTGCAATTTGCTTTTAACTGAAGTTGTGACAAGTGGTACAATTGAAACTGCACGAGAGATTCAACAAATGGTTTCAGAAGTTCGTGCAGATCCTCATTGCCTTGAGTTTTTCAAACTGCCAGGTACTCGCAAATGGACTGATGTGGTTTTCGTTTCCATGGGCGATCAATCACATGCTAATCGTCCTCAAGGAGACTCCACAGGTGGTTTACTGACTTTAGCTGCTGGACCTGATGTTTCGTCTGGCAAGGTGGTCTTGATGAACCTTTTAGCCTGGCGAAGCTGGAAGCTCAAGCGCAAGGCAATTGGTAGCAATGATGCAGAAGTTCAAAGCATTCTTGAAGCAGAGGACCAGAACTTTAGAGTCAGAATGCTATGGAGTGAACTTCATGGTGCAGGACTTGATCGACCTGAACGACGTGCTGACTTGGTAGAATCAGCAGAGAACCAAGCATGTATGGTAGCTGGAATCCTTTGCACTGACTCGAGAGGTGGCTACGATGCCATTGAAGTGAACGAGCCACCGCTGCTTGGACTTTCAAACATGCGTGCAGCTCTTCAAGCCTTCCAGCTGCGTGACAACCTGAAGAGGGTGAACTGCGATCTGAGATGGGTTGCTTCAGATTATGACCTTGCTGATGCCTTCACCAAGAAGCGAGGCGACAGCAGAGTTGGTCTTTTGAAATTTCTGAAGAGCCGACACTGGTCGGTAGCCTATGATCCAAACTTCATAGCTGCCAAAAGAAACAGGAAGATTGGCAAGACGGCGATCCAGAAGGTCGACGATGCTTTGGGCGACGCTTCGGTGCCTTTGACTGCCAATGGATCCTTTGAGCACTACGCGGAGCATGCGCTCGCAATCAGTGCTGGCCTTCATTCAGATCGAGCCCTTCAGCGTGAGCTCGCAATCAATGCTTATGATCTTTTTCATGGCGACTTGCATGAGCTCGCAATCACTGCTGGATCACCAGAAGTTCAGGTCGGATCGTTTTTAGGTTTCTCTCCTGAGCCTGGTACAGAGACTCAACGCCTGAGCCCTTTTTGTACTGGTGCAACTGCCATCAGCCATGTCAGGACGTTGAGTCACCAAGGACCCGGAACTGTGTCTCGGCTCAGGAGGGGCCCCTTTTAGTGAGCCATCCAATGTGGCCAATGGTGCAGACCTGACCGCTGTGGTCATTGAAAACATAGCGCTCTGTGCGCTTTGCGGTTCGTGCGGTGCTGACTTCCTGAACTACCCCAACGGCTTCTAGGCGACCGGGATTGGAGGGGAATTAGCCCAATACAATCCACTGTGCTCCCGCTACATATACCCGATTTCAAAAAACCTCGGGGATGGCTTGACTTTTTCATTATCCAATAATAATTCATTATCCCATTATTATTATTATTACTATTACTATTATTATTATTGTTGTTATTATTATTATTATCATTATTATTATTATATATATATTATCCTATATCAATCCATATTCTCCTATGAATACCGCACTGTTTTTCGCATATCACATTGGTTTTCCCACATTCTTCCAGTTCCCTCCTTGCCCAACCCCCTTCCGCGCCTTTGTTGGCCAGCAGTGCCAGGACCTCAAAGCTGCCAGCACAAGCAGCCGAATCGTAGCCGGCTCCTGCGCGGAGAGAAACTGAAGGTATCTACTGCAAAACCATGAGATTATCAAATATGGTGGTTCGATCATTCTGAGTCGAGATGATCTTCTCAGGGAAGCTGCAGACTTGATTCTTCACTAGTCATGGCTGATGATCATCAAATATGGTAACCCCCAAAAAGATAGAATCAGATAGAAACACAATGGAACCGATTTGGGATCGTGCCTCTATCTATCTTTTTGAGGGGTTACTATCGTGTGAACAAAGAAAAAGAGTCGATTCAAGGCACAGTTGCCGTCGAATTCTCCAATGGGGGTGGTTCAAAATCCACCCGTTTTTTGTAGGTCACTGTAGATGGTTTGGTTGATCTATTTACTGTTTGCCACCTCGATGAAAAGCTATCAGAATTCAAACTTATGGGTGCATCTGAAAATGAAGTAGCCCTGGATCCATCATTGCTCAATCATCCCTATCATTCAAGGTATTGCTCAATCAATGTCTCAATCCAATATAGTAGCTTAATCATCTTGATCCCTTATTTTTTGTGGCTAAAACAATCATAGACCACCCATAAATGGGAATGGTTTATACTCAATACCACCTATCAAAATGGTGACTGGGGGTGCATGGCTGGCATTGTACCCACATCATATCCCTGGCCGCCCTGGCCTGGCCACAAGATGTCCAACTCCACGGCAGAATTCTCGTCCACCGGCCAATTTTGGACCTTTTTTGGGGAGGAAAGATGCCGGTATCCCAGTGATCCCACAACGGTTACTATCTATAGGATATATAATATATATATATACAATATAATATATATATATAATATATATATATACATAATATATATACATAATATATATATATAAATATAAATATGTATAGATATAGAAGATCACCCAGCTATGTTTTTGATTGTAAATGTGATAGACCCCAGAAAAAAGGACGCCAAGAATCACCTTCAGTCCGCCTGGAAAAACAAAAAGTCTTGTCTTGCATCAATCATTGTACATCACTGTACAGTACCAGGGTTTTGTCAAAAGTTCCAGACAATTTCAGAGCCACACTTCCACCATCTTCCACCAACCAATCCAGGACTTGATTCAGTGGGTCCCTGCTCAGCTGAAGTGCCTTGACCCTGTTTCGCAGGGTGTCTCGGATATCTGCTTCGTTCTTTGCCACCGCATAGACGGCATAGGACAACAAATCTTCCAAGAGCTTTTGGCATGCCTCGTCCTCCTGGTCCCATGGAACAGGCAATCTGAAAGCCTCGAAACATTCCCTGTGGGGGGGAAAACCGACCCCCATTGAAGCGTCAGTTCAAGTCATGTTTCAGCTGTCCTGAACTTCTTTGAGGAGGCGATCCAGCACATCTTTCCAGTCAGCCATGGCTAGTGGTGAAACTCAAATCACACCTGTCTTTACCTTCAAACCATGCATGGCTTTAAGGGAAAATCCACAGGATACTATTGCTTTTTCCCATCAAATAGGCGGGCGTTCCTGGTTTTTTTTCCTTACACCAATCCAATGATTCAACATTGGCCATGGTCCTTTTTCAGTACCACATCACCAAGCTGTTTTCATTCATGTTCAATCTCAAAACGAACTAACATGAAACCAGGTGTCTGGTGGCTGCAACCTGTACCGATTTGGTCATCTGCGAGATGTTCCCACGAATCTGCTCGCACTGATCAAGCATCTTAGGATGCACTTGGCTGCAGGTTCAGCCGGATCGCCATGTCACACTGACAAAATGAAGGGACCAACTGCGCTGCAGCCAGGACAATCCATCAAAGGCGTGTCTGAGGGTCCAGCCGCTTGTGGACTTTGGAAAGCAGGGGGCAAACAGCCTCCCAACAGGGACTTTTTCAAAGGCCGGGTTTCTACGCCTGAAACCAAACTGAAATCGCCGATCCTCCACAAGCTCGAGGCTCGGGCCTAGACACTCGCCCCGGCCGGAGGTTTGCGGACCACGGGGCCTGAAAAAGGCAGTTCAAGATCTAGCAGCCGATGGGTGATATTTTAGGTCCGAACTAATGGATTTGGGCCATGTGCCTTGATCTACTAGTATTTTTGCAGCGTTTGTTTCCCTCCACTCGCGCACCATTCCGTTGTTGACCATTTTGTGAAGCGCGCCTCTATAGGAAATCATCCAAAACAGCAAATCAGAAATCAGAACCTTCAAGTTCCCCACGCTGGCAATGGCCGAATCTCCTCTTCGAAAATGATCTGGGCAGCAATGGGCATATGAAGGGGTGGGCGATGCAGGTATCACAGCCAAGCTGCAACTTGTTTGCTGTGTTCAGTATGGTAAACTTGAAGCTATTCTCACAAATCTTGTGGAATGCCTATTTGCCAGCAAGATTTTCTGAAAAATCTGGGTGAGGCGGTGAGTTTCAGGTATTGGGTTCTCATCCATGTGCTTGGTAGGGCATCGCAATAAACATTGCAGCTCCACGCTTTGTCGTGGTAGTCCCATATTTCAACCAAAAGTCCAGCTGCTACGGAAATGCAAAGTGTCATTCCTTTCGGAAGTCTCATTAATGGAGGTTTCCAATTTCATGGGGCTACCCATTTAAAAATCATCCATTGATTTTTAGTGGATTTTCCATTCAGTAAACCATCCAGCTATTGGGGTATCCCCTAAGAAACACAGCCAAAAACACCTGGCCTCAGCCACTGGATTCACCCCTTGCAAGATCTTGATCGCAGGCTCACCCGCCTAGGCCAGTGAGGCCGGATGCCATTGGTACCCCGGGATTTCAAGAACGATCACTTCGGTCTACCCACGATATCCCCATGATGTTGCTATGTTTGGTGGTTGAACCACCATGATTAGTCTAAAACAAACAACAACATTTTCACCCCATGTTCGATGACTAAACCACACCTAGTTCTGGTGCAACGGTGCAACCCCCATGGCCTCCCACATGTCCTTGGTTGTCGTCACCTGGTCCGCCTGGAAAACGCCGGAGAGCTGCCAACTGATGGGTAAACAGAAATCGAGAATTGACGGGTCCACATGGGTCCAATATATATATATATATTGTATATATATATATTGTATATATATATATCACTATACACTGCATTTCTAAAATACGGAACCTAAAGACCAATTGACCAAGTCTTCCAAGTGGTTTCCCCTTCCAACATGGACCAATGAAGCGTTTAGGTCGCAAAACTAAAAGCATCAACCTTCTCAACTGGTGGTTTCAATCATCAGTTTTGGGAAAAAGTGTTGCTTGGTCGTTTTTGAAATGAAAACAGAAAACACTTGACAGATGTGCGCAATGTGTGTGTGTGTGTCACTGTGTGTATACATGTATCTGTATATATACATGCAGATATACATGCATATATATATATAGTGTGTGTGTGTGTATGTATATGATTGTATGTATATATATACTATACATTAGTCTATGTTTATTGACATTTTTTGATAACACACATACATCGGTCTAAAAATGTAGAGCGACCGGGACCTTGCTGAGGATCAGCTGGTCTGCAAAGGCCACCTTGCTGAGCGGTTTCGTTTGCGAATGCGAGTGATACAGATAGCAAACCATTCCCTAAAGATATAAAAATGCATGTGTTATATTATAACAATATATTAGAAGAAATAACAGTAATAATAATGATAAAAGTAAGAATAACAATAGTACTAATAGCAGTAATGTTAACAATAATAACTATTATTTTGTATATAATATAATATTATATTATATTATATTGTATTATATTATATCATATTATATTGTATTACATTATATTATATTATACATATAAGATACATATATATATATCATTATATTCTGTATATATATATATTATTGTATTATGTATATACATATATATATATATATATTGTATGTATATATTATTTAATTTTATATTATATTATATCATATCATATTATATTGTATTATATTGTATTGTATTATATGATATCATATCATATTATATCATATCATATCATATTATATTACATTATATTATGTATTATACTACATTATATCATATCATATCATATCATATTATATTATATATATGGGGTCTGGTTTGATGCCTCAAATATATGAATTATATCTATATATAGGTCCTATCTTGACTGGACAAACATCATCTCAGCAAAAGTGAAATTTAGACTTTAAACTTTAAACCATCAAGAAAGGATATCTTTGCGGTATCAAAACAAAGCACAAGAGCGAAGTCGAGTACTGTGGGGGTGGGAAATACCAAATTACACCCCATGTGGTCGGTTCTTGTGAAGCCATCCCAACATCACAACGATTTGGGCAGCTTTTTTTGGGGATGAGACAGGGGACCAAGATGCCAATCCTATCCACCAGGCTTTAGGATCCCAAGGACCTTGGGTCCACCTGTTGAACATTGGGATCTAAACGGCACGTTGTTTCAGCTGGACACCTAAATGGGGGACCAAAACCATGGCTTTTCCGAAAAATTTCGGACGAAGTTTCGATGATCTTACGGCATCCCCACGGTTTTTTCAAAACCTTGAAATGGCAGGAAGTCCCAAAACCCCGCCTGCCGCCAGAAGCTACGAAGAGCCGCCAGTCGACCAGGTCCCACCGCTGGCTGTGCCTGCTGAGGCTTCAAGCCACGATAGGATGGTATGGGTTGGGGATTCAATGGATTCAACCATCAAAATCAAAATCGCCGGGTGTCTTCTTCATCTTGATCCGACAATGACCAGTTGCTGATCCAAAAAGGTACCCCCTAATTGTGACCCATCGCCATAGGATGAGTCCAATCCCCATTGATCCAGTTGGGCAACCACTGAACCTGCGAAGATGACATCCCGAAACCACTGGACCTGAGATTCAGTGATTGGCTGGAACAAATGGCTGGATCTGGTTATGTCTTTCCGAGGTCTTCACCAGGACTGGATGGGGCCGTCCCCAGTGCCTGACCAAAACTGTGAAAACAAAGATGCAACATGGTGCAACCGTGAAGGCCTGCGCATACGATGGCATGGCATAGATTCATAGATGCAGATCTTTCACATCTTCAGAGCTTCAAGCCCTGACTTTCTCCGAAACTCGTTGTGTGGATTCACTGATCTCAGCTCTTTTTAACGCAGTGCAATTCAGACTTGTGCACAGCCTACGCTAGTTGAGACGCGACTACTTGAAGAAGCGGCTCACTCGGTGCTCGTCTGGACATGGCTTCCGCATGTGCTTATACCTGCAGTCGAGGCAGTTGCAGTTGGTTTCTTGTTGTCTGTTGCCTCAAACTATGAAACTCATCCTCCTGCCAAGAGAAAGACTTCTGCGCCTGGCCTAGTGAAGTTGGCAAGCTCAGAGTGCTTGCTCGTTAGCAAAAATATGCGAGGTAAGCCTTTCATCTCAACCTGCAGAAGGGGCCAAAAGCGCATGCCCCACGATTTATCTATTACTTACAATGACTCAAAATCTTTAGGCGCCGGGATCTCGGAGTTTGAGCCGTTCCCCACCTCACGATTGGGCATCAATCTTGTTCCACACTCCACTTGGGAGTTTAATGAACTTGTTGGCATACCAATCCATCTTGAAGAGGCGAGCGCGAAGGTCATTGCACTTCTTGCTGGCATCATTGATGTTGTCAATCCTTGGGCGGGTCGAGCTTCACAAGAACACGAAGTCTGCTACAGTAGATAGATGCTGTAAAAATATAGGATGTAATTGATATAGAATGCTGTCATCAGATGCTTTTATTGTTTCTCAGGTCTCGCTCTATCTGCTGTCTGGCATCAGAGACGCGTAGTCGGCCTGCAACTGTTGGGCATACTTGTTGTCATACTTGCGATTCTCTGGCTTCATGTGCATGACCAAAGAATTGTTCAAGTTCAGCACTGGGTTGCCTGGGCGATCAACAACAACGCGGGGCAAGGCATAAGAAAAGAATACTCGAATCAAAATTATGTATCTCAAAATTGGATGGTTTATATAATCATGTTCAATTCCAAAGGTGAACATCCTTTCACACTTTCACCCATACCCATCTTGAATCCTCCCAAAAAAAACCGTGGCCGTTTGCACAGCTGAAGAAACGCGTTGTCAACAAGAGCTTCAGCAGTTTTTGTAGACTTCGATTGCCCGAAAATGATGCAAAAAGGAAAAAAAAGACTCCGGGAAATGCGGTCTGGGCCCAGATACTGGGCGCCTTGGTTGGGAAGGGAACGGTGACATTTGCTCGCCAGCGCTTAGGGTGCTCTCCATGAGGTCCGTAAGGAGAGGAAGTGATGGTGTTTCCTAGCAGGTGCAACGATGGACTCATCCAACAGGGGGTCTACAAAATAGTGCAAAAAAGCTGGCATGAAATTCCAATAGAGATTGCCAGTTGGATTGTTCAGGATTGTTCTCTCTCACCGGCTACATCCAGTCAGGCCGACGAAATTCTATCCAAATTCACTTTCAGGGTGGTTGCACCTTGGGCAATGCAGCCAAGTGACCAACACCCCAGCGCTTACGGTCCACAATGGTGTTCAGGTTCCACACAGCATCCATCTCCTTGTTGAGGTAGATCAGGATCTTGTTGATGTATCCTTTGCTGCTGGGGACAGCACACCACATCAGTACGCACAGGCACGAAACAAATTTGCACTGCCGCCCTTACCTTCCTAAGGTAGAGAAGGAACCCCTGAAAGGAGACCAAACAACAGGACCCTGGCACTGCAAGCACGGACCCATGGTATCTTGGCCAAGCATCGAGCGCGTGGCGGCAACTCTTCCGACTTTCCAACGTGGCGGCGGCGGCTCCAAGTGTTCTGGACTTCCTCCTCGTCCTCTTCGGTGGACTCTTCAGTCTCTTCCTCAGCTTCCTGGAGCAAGGATTTGCGGTTCCACACAACAATGCGGCCGGTGGCATTCTCTATCTTCCTCATGGTGTAGTTCACGTAGGTATCCAACACCGTCAAGTATTGATAGTTGGTCACAATGGGCTTCTGGAGAGGTGCCAAGATGTGCTTGAAGTGGTTCTTGGTCTTGGTGCTGATATCCTTCAACCAGCCTTCAGATTCTTCGTTACCCTCCTCCAGTTCCATCTCCTCTTTGAAACCACGAAGCTGCAAAGCGTTGAAGCTGCACTCAGCATCGGCGGCGTCACATTGATCATCACTCTGGAGGGCCGAATCGATGACCGCAGTGTCACCCCAAGCACTCACCAAAAGGCTGAAGAGAGTCGCACGCGCAAACATGATGCCAAGTCCGCAAATGGAGACAAGTCCGAGCGCTTTTTTCTTTTCTACGTAGCTTGAACCAGAGTTCTGATGTCAATGGGCTCAGCAAGGTCATGCAGTCGAATGCATCCTTCATAACTTCAAGCCATCACAACAAGAACAGCCATCACCAGACAGTCCCACCTACCCAGCGTCGGAAGCTGCAAAGGTCCACCTTAGTCGAAGAAAGCCATGTATCCATCCATCCACGTGTGAGTTTTCAACTGCCATTTCAGAACCATTGATGGATGGTTATCATTGTTATCATGGTTCCAGAAGAAGCTAAGTTGCACACTACAGTCACTGTGCCATCCAGATACAAATCCTGCCAAGCGATGGCACATGCCCTGCTGTGTTGGCAAGGTCCAACGCAGCCCTATTGGGCAGGGCCTCTGCCATAGGATCGGTCTTATCTTCCAAAAGAGAGATCACCTGAGCACAGAGATATCGCAAATCCTTGGGACCCTCAATGCCTCAATGACTTGGCTGAGGGGAATTCTGCAATGTGCTGCCTAGTCATGAAGATGGTGCGGAACGGGACAAAGCTGTTTGGCTGTGAGTACTTTTGCAACTTTATGACACAGACCTAGATCTTGTCAAAACCTCCATGAGGTGAAAAGTCCAGAACATGTACCTTCATGTTTGATCATGTTTGCTTATAATTCCTGGATCAGACGTTGGCAAGAGGGGCCATGGCTTCCATTGCAAGGTGACCGTTCTAGGTGCTCCCAACTGGCCCTAGATCAGCCAAACCAGTGGTCTCAATGATGATCCGATCCAGTGGTCTCAGTTGATGTCGGCGAATCAACGCCTGCCAGTAGTTTCAAGGATCGGTTCCAGCATAGTGTGTTGGTTGGTACAACATCCTTTGTGTTGAAGGAAGCGGAGTCAATTGGGAACCTTTGGTTGGGATCGTTTTGGCAAAATGACAAGCTGTCAGATTCCCATCCCTTCCATTTCCCTCCGCATACATCCCACAGCCTCCAACGCTGCTACCAGGTCTACTTCTGCTGAGCAGCAAAGGCAACCTCATCACTTAACAAAAATGACATCATCTTCTCCAGTCGGACAACAAATCGCATACATGTGCGTTCCCTGTGGCTTCCACCTTGGGGTCCCAACCGTTCGCGAGCTCTATGACACCATCTGCCTGGGGGATACCCTCTAGATCCCAAACATGGCTGGAACATCCCCCAGCCAAAAACATGGAGGTTTATAGCTGGGAACATTACAATACGTATCTATAAAATTATATAAATGCTGGATTCTTCTCATTGCTGTTCTGGTGGGATTTGACTGTCCTATCCTCTTGGGTGGCTGCGAAAAATGGCAGCTAAGGGCCCCCTACAACTCATCGCCCCAGTTCGCCTCAGTGTGCGCATTGGCCACCAGGCTTCCATCGACGCCCAAAGCACCAATCTCATTCTCGATGACGGCGATCTTGGACGCTTTCCAGATGTTTCATTATTTTTGCGAGCGAGACTTGGTGACTTGCGGATTCCATGATAATAATGGATAATACTTCTACTTTTTTGTACTCATTTTCCCGTGTTTCAATAGCCTTTTTGAGGGCATACCGTAGACCACCGAAGACCCCGATTCAGCTGGTTTCACGTGTTTCTACTTTGATTGTATTTCAGAAACCAGCCATGAGACAGTCATGGCGATGGCACAAAAATGGCTTCTTGTACCCCAACATCCCCTTCTTTGAAGTGGAAGAGGCATGGTTTTGTGTGTTGCATAAGCTTTCCCTTTTCATCATTTGGATTCATTTGGCTACTTCTGTTCACACCAAAAGAGCTGTTATGGATGTTCATCATGTTCATCCCCAAAATATGCTTCATCTTTCATGTCCCATTGGCAGAAACAAAGTACAGGGTAACCCCCGCGAAGTGCACACTGTCGCCACCTGCACTGTGGTCCCTGACCCGGCTCTTGCCTTCACTCAGTGTGCGGTTCAACCGCGTCTGGCGTGCGGCTAAGCCGGCTAAGCAATCGGCAGCCAATCAGCTGCAACCAAGAAATAGGAATAGAAATCAAAAAACAACTATCATTACTATCCATTACTGTCCATGATTAATCACTAACCATCATTGGTTAACCATCATTAACTTGTCCTTGTCTGAAATTCCCCCAACTCCACTGGTTCAAAAGAGGAACCGCACCGTCTTTCCCGCCCCAAGGAAGCCAGTCAGGAGGGTCACTGGCACCTGGCACAAGAGCTTCGAAAAAGGTCGGAAATTTTGGGAGACTGCTTGGTCAATATTTATTTCCACCATGGATTTATTATACTAGCCATAGTTGATGATTTTATAGGGGATTCTTCTACTACCCAGTTCATAGATTGTTATAATACCCCGTAGATATAAATGGTAGTATAATCCCCGAAATTATCATCAAGCAGCAGGGGTTTGACAGCCTCTGCTCAAATGTTAAAACACTTGTGGGAAACCAGACTTTGTATATCGCAAGAGATGTCAGTGAAAAGATATCCAAGAAAAATACAGATAGAAGCATGTCTGAAATGGGGGGTACTCCTACTTATGGCCACTTAAGTAAGGCTAATGATGATGAACCCAATGCTATGAAGAATCCCATTTACCAGCCATTTCACCGCACCCAATTTCACAAACCTCTCTATTGGGATGGTTTATGGCATTGGGTTTACCACATTCATGATCTGATTAATCAATGGATGGAATTGGGTGGCTTCCCAGTTCACACGTGCAGCGACTGAGTCACCTTGCCATGAGCCTCTTTCATTGCAACATCCATCTTTCAAGTGAAACCAGATGATCATGAGTGAAAGATCCAAAAAGGCTAATACAAAGACGTATCTAAATTCCAGTGTTGAAACTTTTAAAAAAAACAGAACATGTGCCTGTGCTTACTCAGGCTGAGCATTTTCTTGTCACGCATGCGGCATGTGCTGTGGCTCTGCAGTTTGCTATGGTATGGGCAAGAGCTGAGAGAGGCATCAAACAAGGTTCCAACACGACACTGCATGGTTTCATGTGTTGATGCCCAATGAGATCTTCATCCTTTCTGTAATGAGCCGGCTCAAGGACCCTATTGATGTCAAATGGCGAGACGAAGGAACATTCGGCGCATCCTCAAAAGAAACACATGCAGTACTGAGCCCAGAAAGTTTTGTTTAGAATTTCACAGAATGAAATCAAATTCCTGGCTACAAACTGCACAGACAAAGGGTAGAGGCGCTGGCACGCAGTATCTGAATGTTTTTCCCAATCATCGTCTGCAATAGCTCTGGCCTCGGCACGCCAGTTTCCTATAAAAGTGGTTTGACGTCTGCACCGTGAGCACCCGGCCGGGTTCCAAGATGTTCCAAAGATGTTCGACTAGCTAGACAGATAGATAGATAGATAGAAAGATAGAAAGATAGTAAGATAGTAAGATAGTAAGATAGTAAGATAGTAAGATAGTAAGATAGAAAGATAGAAAGATAGAAAGATAGGATCGATCGATGGATAGGATAGGATAGGATAGGATAGCATAGCATAGGATAGCATAGGATAGCATAGGATAGCATAGGATAGCATAGGATAGCATAGGATAGCATAGGATAGCATAGGATAGCATAGGATAGCGTAGGATAGCATGGGATAGCATAGGATAGCATAGGATAGCATGGGATAGGATAGGATTAATAGGATAGGAAAGGATAGGTTAGGATAGTAGATTGATAGATTGATAGGTCCATGGATTGATGGATTGATGGATTGATGGATTGATGGATTGATGGATTGGTGGATGGATGCATCGATGGATGAATGGATGGATGGATGGAGAATGTGTAAGTGTGTGTATGTGTGTATGTGTGTATGTATGTATGTATGTATGTATGTATGTATGTATGTATGTATGTATGTATGTATGTATGTATGTATGTATGTATGTATGTATGTATGTATGTATGTATGTGTGTGTGTATGTGTGTATGTGTGTATGTGTGTATGTGTGTATGTGTGTGTATGTGTATGTATATGTATATATATATATGGATTTTTATCAAGAGGAAAAAAAACATTCAAAAAAAAACACACCGTCACTGTCAATCTGTCCAATCTGAGTTCTATGAAGTGGCTTTCGCTGACTGTCGTCTTCAAATTCTTGTGAGAATCAGTGGCAGCAAGTCAAGGCATCCCCTCCTGCCACATCAAAAGATGATCCACATTCAAATGAAAACGGGCAGAGGCTGCAGCAAGGCGTTTCTGGGGCAACGTCAAGAACAATTGCTGGTGCACAGCAACTAATAGAAGCTCTTTTTGATGCAATGCAGTTCAGGCTTGTGCACAGCCTATGGATTGCTGAGACACACCTATTTCAAGAAGCGGCTCACTCCGTGCTAGTCTGGACATGGCTTCCGCATGTGCTTAGACCTGCCAGTTGAGGCGGTGATCGTTGGTTTCTTGTTGTTTGTTTCCTCAAAACAATGAAACTCATCCTTCTGCCAAGATCAAGACTTCTGCGCCTGGCCTAGTGAAGTTGGCAAGCAGAGAGCGCTTGCTCGTTAGCAAAAATATGCGAGGTAAGCCTTTCATCTCAACCTGCGGAAGGGGCCAAAAGCGCATGCCCCACGATTTATCTATTACTTACAATGACTCAAAATCTTTAGGCGCCGGGATCTCGGAGTTTGAGCCGTTCCCCACCTCACGATTGGGCATCAATCTTGTTCCACACTCCACTTGGGAGTTTAATGAACTTGTTGGCATACCAATCCATCTTGAAGAGGCGAGCGCGAAGGTCATTGCACTTCTTGCTGGCATCATTGATGTTGTCAATCCTTGGGCGGGTCGAGCTTCACAAAGTCTGGCACAGTAGATAATATGTGTGTATATATATATATATTATTTTTTAAACAGTAAGTACAATATCATATATATATAGGATGACATAGGTATTGCTGTTGTCATTGGTAGTGCTGTTGTCATTGGTATTGCTGTTGTCATTGGTGTTGTTGTATTGTCTCTCAATATCTGCTGTCTGGCATCAGAGACGCGTAGTCGGCCTGCAACTGTTGGGCATACTTGTTGTCATACTTGCGATTCTCTGGCTTCATGTGCATGACCAAAGAATTGTTCAAGTTCAGCACTGGGTTGCCTGGGCGACAATCAACAACAACGCGGGGTAAGGCATAAGAAAAGAATACTCGAATCAAAATTACGTATCTCAAAATTGGATGGTTTATATAATCACGTTCAATTCCAAAGGTGAACATCCTTTCACACTTTCACCCATACCCATCTTGAATCCTCCAAAAAAAATCCGTGGCCGTTTGCACAGCTGAAGAAATGCGTTGTCAACAAGAGCTTCAGCAGTTTTTGTAGACTTCGATTGCCCGAAAATGATGCAAAAAGGAAAAAAAAGACTCCGGGAAATGCGGTCTGGGCCCAGATACTGGGCGCCTTGGTTGGGAAGGGAACGGTGACATTTGCTCGCCAGCGCTTAGGATGCTCTCCATGAGGTCCGTAAGGAGAGGAAGTGATGGTGTTTCCTAGCAGGTGCAACGATGGACTCATCCAACAGGGGGCCTACAAAATAGTGCAAAAAAGCTGGCATGAAATTCCAATAGAGATTGCCAGTTGGATTGTTCAGGATTGTTCTCTCTCACCGGCTACATCCAGTCAGGCCGACGAAATTCTATCCAAATTCACTTTCAGGGTGGTTGCACCTTGGGCAATGCAGCCAAGTGACCAACACCCCAGCGCTTACGGTCCACAATGGTGTTCAGGTTCCACACAGCATCCATCTCCTTGTTGAGGTAGATCAGGATCTTGTTGATGTATCCTTTGCTGCTGGGGACAGCACACCACATCAGTACGCACAGGCACGAAACAAATTTGCACTGCCGCCCTTACCTTCCTAAGGTAGAGAAGGAACCCCTGAAAGGAGACCAAACAACAGGACCCTGGCACTGCAAGCACGGACCCATGGTATCTTGGCCAAGCATCGAGCGCGTGGCGGCAACTCTTCCGACTTTCCGACGTGGCGGCGGCGGCTCCAAGTGTTCTGGACTTCTTCCTCGTCCTCTTCGGTGGACTCTTCAGTCTCTTCCTCAGCTTCCTGGAGCAAGGATTTGCGGTTCCACACAACAATGCGGCCGGTGGCATTCTCTATCTTCCTCATGGTGTAGTTCACGTAGGTATCCAACACCGTCAAGTATTGATAGTTGGTCACAATGGGCTTCTGGAGAGGTGCCAAGATGTGCTTGAAGTGGTTCTTGGTCTTGGTGCTGATATCCTTCAACCAGCCTTCAGATTCTTCGTTACCCTCCTCCAGTTCCATCTCCTCTTTGAAACCACGAAGCTGCAAAGCGTTGAAGCTGCACTCAGCATCGGCGGCGTCACATTGATCATCACTCTGGAGGGCCGAATCGATGACCGCAGTGTCACCCCAAGCACTCACCAAAAGGCTGAAGAGAGTCGCACGCGCAAACATGATGCCAAGTCCGAACGCAAAGGGGGACAAAAGAGCGTTTTTTTCTTTTCTACGTAGCTTGAACCAGAGTTCTAGTGCCACTTGGGTGAGTAAGGTGGTGTTGTGAGATCTGGAGGAACCAACTGCTGTAACGGGAATATTCTACTCACTCACACACTTGCTCAGAACTGGCATTGCGAATTTTGATGTGGAACGCATCTCACCTGAAAAAAACACTCCAGTTAACCTGACAGGAGAGAGTTGATGACACGATCCGAGAAAGATCGAAAAGTAATCCCAGTTTAGTCACTGCTCGAAGCAACTGATCCATCTGAACCAAGTCGTTCTCCCTCTATTGACAGCTGAGAAATACAGATTGCGACAACAGTGCATTAAAACGAGAAACCCAGCAAAAGATCGACATGCCGTTTCTGGGCTTAGCCGGTTCGCAAAACTGTAAATCATGATCGCATTCAGTAGTTTGACAACGGAAACGGAATCGCCAAAGAATAAACAACGCACAGCTCATGAACAGGAACAGAAGGTCAACAGTTTTAACCATAGCAGGTACGTAGATCAGGCGTCCCTGATCTATATCCTTGCCGCATGTCATCAGCTTCGTTGGCAGAGCAAGTGACATGGGCACCTCTGCACAGAGATATTACGTATATACATGTCCCCCTGCGATATATTGAAGTTTTACATCTATACAGATGGTACACACACACGCCCCACCGCAGCGGGGCAGATGAAATGAAAATGACAATGAAAATGAAATGAAAAATACTTAACCAGGACGCGAAGAGGGGAACACAAGAGAAGAGGGAAAGAGAGAACACCAACACAACACACCTGGCCCGGAAAGGTTAAACCCTGAAAAGGCGAGGGAAAAGAAAAGCGGAGGCGGACGGACAACGGAACAAGACCAGCGGAGGGGGGGGAAGACAGAGGCGCCTGAACCAACCTAACACGGCGAAGACCTACACCAACCTCAGCACGCAAAGGGCCAAACCTACCTGAAGAGAGGAGAACGCAAGAACACATGAAATAAAGGACCCATGGGGAACTATAGTTGATGGAATGATGCATCCACATGAGCATGCAATATTTCCCTCGTTGTAGGCTCACAAGCCTAGAATTCGCGTCAACCCCATCGACGGCTGTCAGTGTTCAAATGAATTAGGTGCACAATTGAACCTCACCAGAGACCATCAAAAGAAAAGACCACACCTAAAGTCATGAGCCTGCCTGAATCTTCGAGCATGTTGCAGTGATATCTTCTGTCTGTAACCTCACCAGAGACCATCAAAAGAAAAAGACCACACCTAAAGTCATGCGCCTGCCTGAATCTTCGAGCATGTTGCAGTGATATCTTCAGTCTGTAACTCTCTGGAGCATTGATGAAAAGGAATTGTTGTCGCGGCTTCAAGCTATGCAGAAGGGCAAGCAATCTCTCTGAAAGGACTGATGCCACACGGCGGCCAGTTGTTCAACCCAAATCGACATCGACCAGTGAGACGATGGAAGAAGGCCAGCTGTTTCACTTTTTACTTAAACGAATTACTAATTCAAAAGTGTAAATTCAGACATCAGGTCGTTGCATCCACACTTTGCTCAGACAAGCATTCCCCGAAGGGTTCATGCCACCTTGACGAATCCAGCATGAATCACACACTTGCTCAGAACTGGCATTGCGAATTTTGATGTGGAACGCATCTTACGTGAAAAAAACACCCCAGTTAACCTGACAGGAGAGAGTTGATGACACGATCCGAGAAAGATCGAAAAGTAATCCCAGTTTAGTCACTGCTCGAAGCAACTGATCCATCTGAACCAAGTCGTTCTCCCTCTATTGACAGCTGAGAAATACAGATTGCGACAACAGTGCATTAAAACGAGAAACCCAGCAAAAGATCGACATGCCGTTTCTGGGCTTAGCCGGTTCGCAAAACTGTAAATCATGATCGCATTCAGTAGTTTGACAACGGAAACGGAATCGCCAAAGAATAAACAACGCACAGCTCATGAACAGGAACAGAAGGTCAACAGTTTTAACCATAGCAGGTACGTAGATCAGGCGTCCCTGATCTATATCCTTGCCGCATGTCATCAGCTTCGTTGGCAGAGCAAGTGACATGGGCACCTCTGCACAGAGATATTACGTATATACATGTTCCCCTGCGATATATTGAAGTTTTACATCTATACAGATGGTACACACACACACACTTGCTCAGACGCATACAAACATACATACATTACATTGCATTGCATTTACATATACATTTACATTTACGTTACATTTACATTACATAATATTTTTACAGTAATTATATATTGTATCAAACGTGGAACTCATCCATGGATCAAGCTGCAGTTGCTGAGACCACCGACCCGCAGCTCCATGTTGGTCAACCTCAGGTCCAACTCACCCAACTATCGATCCAACAACCACCGATCCGATATATTAGATGCACAGATATCTGTATAATTCAGTATGTATGTAACACATATCACATATATATATATGCTATGTCTTGTAATCTGATTTGATCTCAGTCAAGGAAGAACCACTTGCGGAAAAAACTCCGGCATTTTTGGAGGTCCGGGACCCAAGCATCGGCCGCCCGTGTGCCACGAGCCTCACTGCTACCTCCATGCTACCTCCATTGAAGTGAAACTAGATATTCAACATAGCTATGGGAAATGGTCAATTTATATAGATGAGTTATCATGATTTATGATTATTTATGATGATTTATGATGATTTATGATGATTTATGATGATTTAGTTCTTAAAGCTGTTGCATTCTTGTCCATGGTCCATTGCTGTGTGAAAAATTACCAGAGGTTAGTAAATGTTGGTGCAAGATCCTGACTTGACTATGTGAACATTTGCTGGAGCCCAGCAGCCCAACGGCAAAACCTGTTTGTAACACCCAGGGAACAAAAAATGCATCTGGATTTGTCTGAAAATGCAAGATATCCCAATTTCCGGCCATCTTGATGGGAAAATGATTCTGAACACCCCTTCTGGATCAGTTTCACAACCGGTTGAATCGCTTGAAGTTCTGTTGCTACGGTGCATAACTTTTGCTCCGTGGTGACCTGTGGACCTGTGGATCCGGTCTTCCAGGGATCATTTCTTGGAAACCACCAAGCGCTCCTGGGCGCTGCAGGGTTTACGGCTGAGGTTTTTCAAATCCCAGCCGATTGTTTTAAACACCCCAATTGCATGGTCCCAATGGAATGTGCAAATTCGCTACATCCCACCATGGTTTCCAAGGGGGTGCTTAATATTGTTTAAGATGTTGAAGATTAGGGGTATTATTTCAAGAAACCTACCACTGTCCTTCTGGTTGCCAAGTCTGGCCAGTTTCTCGTCTTTGATTGTTTGCCACTCTTCCAATTCCTGGGACAATCTGCAAACATCTGAAGCTCCTCGAATCACAGTGCTTGAACCGACATGGATTGACAGTATTTGAGACTTGTTGCGCCAGAAAGTCATCTGCGTTGGGCGTAAGACCCTTTGCACCCGCCGTGCTGAGCTGGAGGTTGAGGAGTTCTTATCACGCTGACGCCGCAACATGGCTTTCACCTGAAATTTATGACTTCACTCGCGCTCCGGAACCAAGAGTAAGAAAGGTTCCAACAAGGAGACAACAGTAGCAGAACCTCGTGTCTTGGTGTCACACTCATGTTCTAACATAGGCTTGCCAGCATGATGCCAGCATTCATTCTCGTTTCGCTGGTGGCCTAACAAGCTTGGCTTGGGACAAGCGCACAAACTCCATAGCCTGCGCTTCAGACATCAGCCCTGCACCACAGTGAAGATTTTCCTGTCCAAATTCGAGCGGAAGAACAATCACTTGACATATGTTTGTACATATACATATATATATATATATACATTCATATTGTGAATCGGAGATTCCCTCCGATATATGCTTCTTGATAGTGTAGGAATGAGTTGTTCTCGTATGAGTGGATGACGTTCAGTTCACGGCTTCGGCATAGCTTTCTATTTTGATCGGACAATTGCAGTAAGGCGACTTGAGCCAAAGGGTTTTGCGGTTGACCCTTTGGCTGGAATGATACTTGGCTATTTACATGGGGATATTATCGTACACTGTGGTATAGTCCCCATTCGCACCCCCCACGCATGACTGACTTTATCAGTCACGCGCAGGAGAGCCAGTTTAAATCTCCCATTCTGCAATTTACATTTGTTGAATTAGAGAGAGTTGAATGTTCATTCAGAACTTCATATCTACGATGCGGCTTGCTACGATCTCTACAAATAAATAAACTGTTCACATGCACGCTGACAAGACGTAGTCTATGTACAGCATTGAGGTTCATCCAAAGTGGCGTAGCCAACATGGAATCCCACTCAAGCATGGAAATAAAATCAAAAAACGCAATGATGACTACGGAGCTAGAAGTTTACCTTCCCGTTCCTTCGTCAGTTGAGACGTAGACCGCTGTAGAAACTCAGCGTTTCATGCAATGATACTCTAGAAAAAATGTGGTTCTCAATTAGCCGGCTCAGATTCCTCTCAGAAATCATTCAAAATGAAGTAGAGGTAAATCACGAGCAATGATTGCTGCCTCGCTTCGCCAGGTTCAATCAGGACCTATGCAGAGGTCATGTCGATTTATCGTCTGTATCCCCATCCATAGTATCCTTGATGATTCCAGTCGCCACCACGGTGTGAATAAGATCTTTCACCTTTCCCTTGGTCTTTTCCACCTTTCTGTGGTGGAGGTACTGGTGCTTGTTTCGGCGGAGGAGCAGCCTCGACGGTCCTCCATGTTGCCGTTGATGATGCTTTCGCTTTCGATACTCTGCCCAGTGTCGGTGCTGTCTTCGGGGCTGCTTTTGATTTGCCAGTTGCCGGGGTAGCACGTTCACGATTGGCAGGAACCGGGGTATCAGCGATTGCGACCAGGTGGGCTTCTGACATGTGGATGCCCCATCTTGGTCGTTGATCATCTCGTTGTTTGATATGGTTGTAGTC